CGCAGAAGCCCACCCCTGTCAAATACAGGGTCTATATTGGGCCCTGGACCATCTGCTCCAGTTTACAACCAGCCCACCCGCCCAAGTTATCCACCTAGAACCTCTAATCGGAATCAGCCCAAGAACCAGCGCTCCAATAATCACAATCAGCCCAACCGACGTGGCAATAATAATTTCGGGGGTCCCACAGGCCGAAATAACCCCGGGAATGGTAATCCCACCATCGGGGTAAATATTATGTGTCAGATTTGTGGAAAACCAAACCATTTTGCCCTTAATTGTTGGCATCGGTTTGAACAGCAGGCTTATCCTCCTCAAGTTAACACAGCTGTCACTAATCACAATGGCTGGTTACTTGACTCTGGAGCAACTAATCATGTCACCAACAACCTGAACAACCTTACCTTGGCATCGGATTATACTGGCACTGACTCTCTCATTATTGGTAACGGTAAAGGTCTTGCGATAGCACAAGTTGGGCATATGACCCTTCACTCCCTCTCCTTACCTAATACTCTTTTTGTCCCTTCTATTCATACCAATTTAATTTTTGTCTCCAAATTATGTCGTGATAATGACGTACTAATTGAATTTCATTCCTCTTTTTGTCTTATCAAGGATCGGCGAACGGGAGCAATTTTGTTACGGGGTATGAATAATGGAGACGTCTACAGCTTGCCTGATGCCACACCTACATCATCTCCTTCTGTTCACGTCACACAAAAAAATTCCCTTAATAAATGGCACTGTCGTTTAGGACATCCTGCCCTCCCTATCACTAAAAAATTCTCTATTCCTTAGGTATTTCTTTTCCCAATGTTGCAACTGATTTTTCTTTATGTGTCTCGTGTGCTAGTAATAAAAGTCATAAATTACCATTTGCTCATTCGTCTCTTACAAGCTCGGGACCTCTAGATTTAATTTATACTGATGTTTGGGGCCCGACTCGTGTTACCTCTGTTGATGGCTTCCGTTACTATGTTATTTTTGTTGACCATTATACCAAATATATTTGGTTTTATCCTATGACTCATAAATCTGAGGTAACTTCTCTTTTTCAGCAGTTTAAAAAAATTGTTGAAAACTTTTTCCAACGTACAATTAAAACAATTTACTCTGATGGAGGGGGTGAATACATTACCTTAGGGAAATTTCTACATACATGTGGCATTTCTCACTTACTTACTCCTCCCCACACTTCAGAACACAATGGCTTTGCTGAACGCCGGCATCGTCACATTGTGGAAACTGGTATCACCTTACTTCACCATGCGTCCATGCCTCTTAAATATTGGACCTATGCATTCCTTACGGCAGTTTATCTCATTAATAGACAACCTGCACGTTCTCTTAACTATTGCACCCCATATGAAAAACTCTTCCAACAACCTCCTCATTATAATAAACTTGTCATTTTTGGGTGTCAATGTTTCCCGTGGTTACGTCCTTATACCACTCATAAGCTAGAACCACGCTCTAAACCGTGTGTTTTTCTCGGGTACTGTGACCAACAGAGTGCTTATCGTTGTCTTGATCTCGCTACTAGTCGTGTCTTTGTTAGTAGGCATGTAGCATTTGATGAGTCCGTCTTCTCTTTTTCTACGACCACGCCATCAGTTTCCAAGACCACTACTGAAGTTGATCTTTGGCTTCAACCTTCTCTTTCCTATCTTCCCATTTCTGGTACGATGGTTACTGGGGCGTCTCCTCCTACTCATACCTCGGCTCAAGAACAATCTCCTAGTACGTCAACCACCACTACCACCCAAAATGACCCCACTCCCCATACCTTGGCTCCAGAACATTCTCCCGGTCCGTCACCCACTACTCACACCCAAAATGACCCCACCCCCCATAGACCCACACCACCACATGTTATTACTTATCAACGCCGTCCCAAACCACATCCTCCTACACCTCATTTACCTACCACTCCTGACAAACCTACCTCAAACCCCAAGCCGGATAACCCCATGCCCAAACATACCCACCCCATGACCCTTCGACCTCGTAAACAAGCCAATATGGCCGCTCACACTCCTTTACCTCATCACATAATTCCCACTTGTGCTTCTCAAGCTATGCAGGTACCCGAATGGCGGGCGGCTATGTCAGTAGAATTTGATGCCTTGGTAAAACAGGGAACTTGGGACCTTGTTCCATCTCAGCCTGGCCAGAATATTGTGGGTTGCAAATGGGTATATACAGTGAAGTATAAGTCGGATGGGTCCTTGGATCGCTACAATGCCCGATTAGTGGCCAAGGGTTTTCATCAACGGCCCGGGATTGATTATTCTGACACTTTTAGTCCGGTCATAAAATCAGTCACTATTCGTGTTGTTTTGACTATTGCTCTTTCGCATGGCTGGCCGGTTCATCAATTGGACGTCAATAATGCCTTCTTACATGGCAATCTTCAGGAAGAGGTTTACATGAAGCAACCTCCTGGCTTCAATGATGGTTCTGGGTTTGTCTGTCGCCTACGGAAATCCATTTATGGCCTTAAACAGGCACCTCGGGTGTGGTATCAGTCTCTTAGTGGATTTCTTCTCTCACTCGGGTTTTATCAGTCTGTTGCTGATGCCAGTCTATTCATATTTTCTTCTCATGCCTCCTACATATATGTGTTGATTTATGTGGATGACATTATAGTTACTGGCTCTACAGCGGCATTGATACGACAAACTATTGATTCCTTGGCCCACCAGTTCTCCATCAAGGATTTAGGAGCTTTGCATTATTTCTTGGGCATGCAGGTTACTCCTACACAGGACGGACTCTTTCTTGATCAACATAAATACATTATGGACTTATTAAAAATGTTGAACATGGATGGAGCTAATCCTGTGTCTACGCCGTTAGCATCTTCTGCCTCCTTAACTCTGTTTGACAGCTCTGGATCCTGTGATGTCACTCTCTATCGTCAAGTCATCGGGTCACTTCAATACCTGAATCTTACCCGACCAGACGCTGCTTTTGCCATTAACAAACTAGCTCAATTTATGCATAAACCGACGGTTAATCACTGGCAGCTTCTCAAACGTCTTTTACGCTATCTCCAAGGCACTGCCTCTCATGGACTTTTTCTTCGTCGGAGTATTTCTCCCTCCTTATGTGCCTTTGCTGATGCTGATTGGGCAGGGAATCCTGATGACCGCTCCTCTACTAGTGCCTACGCCATCTTTCTTGGGGAATCTCTTATCTCTTGGAAATCAGTCAAACAACGTACTATTGCGAAGTCTTCCACGGAGGCCGAATATCGAGCTCTTTCTACGGCTGCCTCTGAAATTATTTGGATTGAATCTCTCTTATGTGAGTTGCGGCATCCGCTCCTGTCTCCCCCACTTCTCCTATGTGACAACAAAGGTGCCACTACGTCCTCAGCAAATCCTGTCTTCCACTCTCGCATGAAACATGTGGCTATTGATTTTCATTTTGTTCGGCAGCGGGTTCAACGTGGACTTCTTCGCGTTCTTCACATTCCATCTTCTGATCAAGTAGCTGATGCTCTCACCAAACCGCTTCCGCGACAACGCTTTATTCTTCTTCGAGACAAGCTCAGGATTCTTGGGAGTGACAGAATACCTGGCTTGCGGGGGCGTATTGAAGGAAAGGAATAAAATATATTTAATACATAATATTGTAATTGATTAGTGAAGAACCGTTACATATATCTCTCATTTATGAGAGCTTTATTTCTTACCATATAGATATACTTAGTTGTAGTATAAATTGCAGCTCTTGTAATGTATTTTGTGTGCTGAATTATATTCAAAATCCTTCTCTTATCTCTGGTTCTATAATTACATCCAGTCCAATTTTTAAAGTGAGACTAAAACATATAGATGATTATTTTATTTGAAAGAAAATATAGGAATATCTGATTTATATTGGATATATGATGAAATGTGAACAGCTAGGTGATCTATTAGCAAATGCATTAAATGAGATAGGGGTTGATTATTCATGCTCCAACTTGAGGTAGTCTGGGAAATATATGGTGATTATGGTCGTAGATATATGATAAATCACATAGAATAAATATTTAGATAGTGTTGATGCGGCAGTCAGGACGGACAGGGGCGGCTTCGGGTGGTGTCTACGAGATCATGATGGTGACTTTATTGCAGGCGCAACAAGTAAGTGGCCGGGGATTTTGACGGTTTTGGTGGCAGAGTTGGCTGGTATTCGAGAAGCTTTGAGTTGGCTAAAAGATTTCGGGGGTACTTCGGTAGTGGTTGAATCAGATTCGGCGGGAGCGATATCAGAAATATTAAATGGATCGAGCAGTTCAACGGTGGGTTTGTTGAGAGAAGACATTAATGATTTGACGAAGTTCTTTCCGTGCATTTCTTTTAGTCATGTGAAGCGATGAGCGAACAAGCCTGCTCATTTGTCAGCTAGGGCGGCTTGTTCTCTACCTGATTCGCAATATTGGTTTCATTCTCCTCCTTCTTTCATTGTATCTGCGTTAGCGAACGATTTGATTAATGCTAATTAAATCCATTCCTTTCAAAAAAAAATATTTAGATAGTGTAGCATGATATTAGAAAGACTGTTTCCTAAATTAACACATATATAAAGAGCATTTATAGGGCCTCAATCCCTAAACCCAGTACACAAAAATTATTCCCATTTTCTTGATTCCTTCCCTTTTTGCAGGAACATTCTAACTTCACTAATTTTTTGGTCGTGGGTCTCGTGACTAGTACTACTAATTTTTTAATGTATGTCTTCACGCTGCAGCCGAACCCAAAATCTTTTGGGATTAAGGCTTGGATGTTGTTATTTTCAGTCATGAGCCCAATGTGGTCATACTGATGTCTTGATTGCATTTGGGCTAATTTCTTGATCTCCTTCAAATAAATCTTAACGTGATTCATCTTCCTAATAAATGGATTTTAAGCAGATAATCAGCACAGCACAGTTGCTTTATGAAGATGCAAAAATGATAAATGTGTTTTCCTCCTAATCTTATTGTTTCCTTGTGAATTTATTAGCATTTCAGAATACTCCGTGGAAAACTCTATCATTAAACCAACGTATATGCTGACATATGAAAGTGCATCTGAACTTCTTCATTTGAACTTGGAAGAGGAGGTAGAGCTAAAGATTCTTGCTGAGGCAGCTAAACTTCGGTTTAGGTGGCGTCAACAACAGGTTTTGATTTATTTTTAGTAAAAGTTGATATTTAAAGCATACAATTTTCTTCTCAAACCATGGCCGTTTGGAACCACGGTTTTTCGGCTTATCAGACATATCAGTCAACTTTTTCACCAAACACGTAATTTTTGCTTTCGCGCGCTGAATTGTGTAATAAGCAGAAAAAGTAAGGTTGGAGTTACTTTTCTGGCTGAATCGGCTGAAGTTACTCTAGATGACCATTTTAGCTATTTTTACATATAATTTTTTCTTTATTTTATTAATAAAATATATTTTAAAAATAATTTTTTCTTAAATCAGCAGAATCAGCCAATGCAGCCACTTCAGCCAGAACTTCATAAATTTCAGCAAAATTAGCCAAATCAGCCGATTTTCGTGCTACCAAACGGGCTATAAAATTTCCTTATTTTCATTGAGCCATCCGGCCAGAATATATATACAATGTACAAGTAACAACCTTCTTGTGGAGATCCTATAAAATAGGATCTAGCTAACTACAAAGCTTATCTAATTATTAATGAAGGCTAATAACTCTAATACTTATCTACACGGCTACATATGTACCACATCTAATAATTAACAATCAATATAACATTTTGTACACCCCTCCTCCGGTTGGTGAATATATCATACATCCCCAACTTGCTTATATGTAGCTCAAACATTGGTGTAAACAATCCTTTGATGAAGATATCAGATGTTTGGTCTTTGGTAGATATGAATGGTGTGCACACATCTCTATATTCAATCTTTTCTTTAATGAAGTGTATGTCCACTTCAATACGTTTAGTACGATCATGTAGTCCATGATTATGAGCAATGCTAATGGCTGCTTTGTTATCACAATACAACTTCATAGGTAGATCCATCTCCATTTTCAGTTCTGAGATTACTCTCTTGATCCAAAGAAGTTCACAGATGCCAAACAACTTCATAGGTAGAAACACATCTACATCTACATCCAACTGTTGGTTTGTTCTTGGATAACTCTACAATCTTGTATGTCTGATTTCTTTCAAGTGCATCCATCTCTTCCAAAGCAGCTTTCTTCCACTCAAGTTTAGATAGAGCTTCCTGTATTGTTAAGGGAATATCAATAGAGAAAATATTAGAAGTAAAGGCTGCAAATGATGAGGACAACTGGTAATAAGACACATAGTTTGAGATAGGATATTTGGCACACGATCTTTTCTCTTTTTGAGAGCTATTGGTAAGTCAAGGTCACTGAAATTATTACCCTTTTCACTTGATACCATTGAGTCAGAATCATGAGCAGTTGCAATGGAGCCAAAGACTCACTATTTTTTTGCTTAGGAATATGATGGAATAAAGCAAAATGGCTCACTAAGCTGTCTGTGCTTCTTTACTATGAAGCAGCAGTCAGTCCATGCATTTTTCGACGCGATTTTCACTATGGGTCATCCGGAAACTGTCTCTTTGTGCTTTAGTACAGGGGTAAGACTGCGTACATCCAACCCCCCTACCCCACCTTAGGTGGGAGCCTTTGCGGCACTGGGTAATGATGATGATGTTGTGTTGAAGAAAGTCCTAAAAACACATTTTGTACCTCTAGGATCAAATTTGCTTGCTTTTTTGTCGGGATTTTTAATAAATACAGTGGAACCAAAATTTTCGAAGGAAGAGAGTTGATTAGCCTGGTTTTAGGAAAGCATGTTTGAAGAGTATCAATAGGAGTTTTAAATCCTAGAGTCTTTGATGGCATTCTAATGATTAAATAGGTGGCCTGTAAAACATCATCTCCCCACAGATATTTTGGAACTTTGGTTGAAAACATGATTGCACGAGTGACTTTAGGTGAATGTGTATTTTTCCTACGAACTATTCCATTTTGAGCACGTGTATTTATGCAAGAACTTTGATGAACAGTCCCTTTTTCAACAAAAAAATTGTTTAAGTTTTTAGAAAAATAATCACAACCATTATCACTTCTTAACATTTTGATGTTGATATTGAATTGAGTTTGGACCATTGAATAATATATTCTAAACACACTTTCAACTTCAGATTTTTCTTTAATAAAAAATACCCATGTCACCCGTGCATGATCATCTATAATTGTTACAATCCATCTCTTTCCTTGCATGGTAGATACTCTAGATGCACCCCAAATACCACTATGCACAAGAGTAAAAGACTAATAGGTTTGTATTTATGAGGGATACAAGAATTCTTATGATGTTTTGCAAGTGCACACATATCACAATGAAACAATGAAGGGTCTTTATTATAAAATAATTGAGCAAACAACTTTTTTAAATAATAAAAACTAGGATGTCCTAATCTATAGTGCATTAAATAGACTTCTAGTGCATTAATCTTCATTATTACTAGAAAAAGAAATAGTTTGCAGACAAATTTCCATGACCTCTTTTATTTAATTCAGTCCCTTCATCAAAGATATAGAGTCCATCTTCCTCTCTAGCACTGTCAATCATGTTCCCCGATGCCAGGTCCTTAAAAATGCAATAAGAAGGATAAAATTTAACACAACACTGAAGATCTTTGGTCAACTTGTTAACAGAGGCAAGGTTACAAGAAAGATTTGGAACATGTATGACTTTTAAAAAGTTAACGGATGAGGAAATCTTGACATTTCTTATCCCTGCAATGGCTGATAGAGAGCCATCTGCAACTTTTACTTTCTTATCTCTTGCACATGGTTTATATGAGAAATAGAATTTTGAAATAGAAGTCATGTGGTGTGTTGCACCTGAGTCAATGACCCAGGTGTTTTTTTATTTTTCAGAACAGAAATATGATGCAATTTTACCCTTTTGGGCAAAAGAACAAGAGGGGGTTTCCTGGTTGGAAGGTTTTTTGGTGGCTAGAAACTGTAGAAGTTGCTCTATCCTTTCCTTTGTGAAAGGAAGCTGTTTGGAATTGACTTGTTACTCTTGTTGAGTTTCAGTCACAGTAGTATTGGGAGCTTTCTCAAATTTCTTTTTCGTGCTCTTGGTGGCTTCCTATGAATCTTCCAACAAGTTTCTCTTGTATGCCACAACTTCTTGCAATGATCACACCATGGCTTCTTCCTCTCATCTCCCTTGATCACCAATGCTGAGGAGTCTCCTTTGTCATCATTAAGTCTTGGATTGTTATTCATGTTCTTTTTCCTTCTTTCTTCCATTTCAGAGAATACTTCTCTGATTGAGGGTAGATGCTTCTTTCCCAGAATCCTTCCCTTCAGATCCAGACTTCGATTGACTCCTGCTAAAAACATATAGACTCACCTCTCCTTTTTTCTTGTGCCTAGCCAGATCCTTGGCACTTGGCACTTTCTCATTCATCATCATGATATTGATCCAATTATTGCCATAGAGCCACCATCTCATTGTAATAAGTGGTGACATCTCTATCTCCTTGTTTGGGCTTCCAGAGAATGGTCTTCAATTCAAAGATCTGAGAGGAGTTTTCAAGATCTGAATATGTTTCGCCGATGGAATCCCCACACCTCCTTTGTTGTCTTTATGAACATGTGGGGTTTAGCAATTGATGCATCCGTGGAACTGAGAAGCCAGGCTGTAACTAAAGAGTTTTCTGACTCCAGCCGTAGCCATCATCGCCACTGAGTTTTTCTTTGATTTCACCAGTTAGATATCCCAGCTTTTCCCTTCCATCTATTGCTAATTTGACAGACCAAGGCCACTCCAGATAATTCTTTCCACTCAGCCTATGACTAGTTATAAGCATAGATGAATGAATAGAAGACTGATAATTTGTCATCGAGCTAATTTGGGAATTAGGGCTACTGGTCTGGGAAGAAGATGATGATGATGCAGGCCTGGTTTCCACCATTGTGATGTTAAACCGAGAGCTGTGATACCATGTAGGTTTTGGGAATAAATTTTCTTTATTTTCATTGAGCCATCCGGCCAGAATATATATACAATGTACAAGTAACAACCTTGCTGGAGATCCTATAAAATAGAATCTAGCTAACTACAAAGCTTATCTAATAATTAATGAAGGCTAATAACTCTAATACTTATCTACACGGCTACATATGTACTACATCTAATAATTAACAATTAATATAACATTTTCTACATAAATGATTATATGGTTAAAGTATCTGAATACCCCTTACTATCGTAAACATTCAATTTCGTGGACTTAGCAAATTTGTTCAGTGTAGCTTCACTGTTCATGGACTTCACCAACTGAAATTCAATCACCATTTTACCAAACTACTTCTTCCTATCCTATGTGCTTATCGTTGCACTGTGATTCACGAGCCGAAATTTCACCAGGCAGTGTAGCATATTAACTCACATGTGCCCTTCACATGATTTTTAAATTAGATATGATTCACGACTTGGAAACCGTGTCTCCCGATTCGCGTTTGATTTTCGACTTGATAGCGTTTGCCTGCAGTTTTTAGAGGGTGCATGCATTTTTATGGAATTAAAATGTTGTACTAAATTAAATATAATAAAGTTCATTATGACAGAAGGTCTCATATAAGTTTAGCTCTTTATTGAATTTGTGGGAAAGCTCATGCTATTTTAGTTGATAAAAATCAATAACTAGCATCAATTCATGACCCATGTTTTTCTCTTAGGGAAGTAGGGCTGTTAAGTTATCTTAGTTATTGTTGCTCTCCATGAAACTGGATATAACAGTAATGGTTTTACAGGGTGCAATAGATACATGTACCTTACAAACAAGAATTAAGGTGACGAATCCTAATGATCCAGAGCCTTCAATGAAGATTTATGTTAGCAATCAAAGTGACCCAGCTATGCGACTTGTTTCTGAGATGATGATACTTTGCGGAGAGGTTATTGCCATGTATGGTTCCTACAATATGATACCGTTGCCCTATAGAGGACACCCACAATCAAATATTGATACATCTGCATTTGCACATCTTCCTGAAGGGCCTGTTAGAAGTTCTGCTATTGTTCGAATCATGCATGCAGCTCAAATGGACTTCAGGAAGCCAATACGTCATGGGGCATTGGGAATTCCCGGATATGTCCAATTCACATCGCCTATACGTAGATACATCGATCTTTTGGCTCATTATCAGGTGACTTTGTGCTGCTTTATGACAATGAATCTCATTGCATTTTACATAGCTTTATTTGAAGCTTGCTTTGATTGCTTTTACATTAAAACACAGTACTGCGAACTTAAACTGCACTTTTTTGTGCTTGATATGTGTTTGATGTACGTTTGGGAATATACTGGAATTTCTTGGTCTTTATGTGATCTTACATGTTAGAGTTTTTTCTTCGATAAGGAGTGTTTTTTTGAGTTTTTTCCCATATTCAGTTGATTTCACAATATCAAGATGCAATGGGGTTTGACTTTAACCATCTGAACTCGTTGTTGTCTCATACTCATTAAATTTCCCTTTCAATTGGAAACAACTTATGATGATGAAAGTTGTGCAAGTTCATCTCATTATTCCTTCTTTAGAAGGTTGTGACTGGAAGTGCATGGTATCCGGTGTAAACCTTTTGCAGTCATATTTTTGCGCGCATCGGTAGTGTTAACATAACAAGTTTGGCGGCCATAGTGACATCCGTAAGTGACATAAAAATCTGACAGTGACCAACTCTTAGTGACATAAAAAATGCAGTGACATTAAAATTGTGCAGTGATATTTTAGGATATTGATGTTAGAAAATAGAAGAGGTTGTTGGTGTATGAATATGTCAAGTGATTTTAGTGAGGTGTAGTGTAGAGGAGGTGTTTTAGAGTAGAGCTCTAAAGCTCTTGTCTCTAGAAAAGAAGTATTGTATTGATATTGCTTGGGTTTGCTTGGTTAGCAAATGAGTACAATGAGTCCTATTTATAGGAGCTAGAGGATCATTCTAGATTCTTATTAAATGCTATGATTCTAGAGTGTTCTACAACTATGACTAATTACTCTAGATTTTACCTAAGAATTCTCTAGTGGAGAATTCTCTAGAATACTTGTAGCTATAGTTCTCTAGAACATCTCTAGCCTTTTCTACATAGAATATTCTAGATAAATGCATCACTATTTAATAATTGACTTCAATTTAGTAATATTTAGAGAAAAACCTCAAATTTCATTTAACTGATCCAAGCTTAATTTTGGGGGTTAAATAATTACTCTGACCGTTAGATGTGATTTGCAAGTGTCTAAACCTGTGGTTGAACTACTGCTGTAAGATGTGTGTAGATTTGAGTTGATTTTACATTTATAGGTGAAAGCATTCATTAGAGGTGATCCTCTTCCCTTCTCGCCAGGGGAGCTTGAAGGGATGACATCTACGATTAACATGACAACTAGAGTTGTAAGGAGGCTCTGCAGTAGCAGTCTTCGTTATTGGGTATTGGAGTACCTGAGAAGGCAATCAAAAGATGTGAAATTTTGTGCTGTTATCCTCAAATTCATCAAAGATAGGAATGCATCAGTACTCTTGTTGGAGGTAATACATTTGATTTGCTCAAAAATAAAAAATGATAAACTGCCTACTACTAATACCACTTGTGTGACAAGTGTCATGAATGTTGGCAATTGAGCACTTAATCCCTGCCCTGATGGCATCCTAGGCTTAACCTGTTTTACTACCCCTCCCTCCCCCCCTCCCCCCCTCCCCCCTCCCCATGTCCAGTACTTTTCTTGCAAGATGGTGTTTATGGATTCCATTGTGTTCTTCAGGATACTCGATGTTAAGATATTTAGGACAACTTTTTTTTGTATGCTGAAAGTAAAAGAGCTGTTAGGTGCAAATTCCCTCCAGATATCTAAATCTGACCTTTGAAAGTCTTTTTTGGAGATGGACGCTACAGTGATTAACATGCAGACTAATGATGGTATATTCTTTGCAGGTAGGAATAGAAGCTAATGTTTGGGTGTCTATTGGTAAACAGATAGGGGATGAACTAGAAGTTCAAGTTGAAAAAGCTCATCCTCGTGATGATATTCTCTCTCTTAAGGAGGTTTTAGTTGCATAGCAGTGCTCTTCCCCATATTGATTGCCTGCAGAGGAGATGCACTGCAAAGAGCCTACTGAAGGACTGATGACCATTTTCTCAAGTGCTTACCAATGGCTACAATACATAGTCTTCAGTTATTGGACTTGCACAACTATGGGACCTGTTGTGAAGAAAGCAGTTGGTTTCTGCTGAAGAGTTCAGCAAAAAATGGCATTAAGTAGTCATGTTGAGGAAATACTTTGATCAGAGTCCATATCAGATTGACAGATTGTTTCACATCAAAGTGGAAATGGTGTCTTCTAAGTTAAGTTTCGGTTTAGTTTGATGTTGGGTGTCTGACAAGATTGATTCTTGTAGAAAAATGTTACATTATTTTTTCTGAGTAATTTGATGTACATATCAAGTCGGATAGACTAGGATAGATGCAGTTAGTTGTAGATAAGCTCATAGTTATCTAGATCCTAATTTTTAGGATCTGTACTAGCTCATAGTTATCTGTACAAAGTGTATTTATACTCGGGCCATTTGGCTTATTCAATCAAGGAAATTTATTCCTCAAACTTACATGGTATCAGAGCAGGCTGTTTAAACACCACAATGGTGGAAACCGAGCACTCTGACTCTTCTCCCCACTCACAAACCCATAACCCTAACTCCCAAAATAGCTTAATGACAAACTACCAGACCTCAGTTCATTCATCTATGCTCATTACTGGCCATAGATTGAATGGCACAAATTATCTCGAATGGTCACAGTCTGTCAAGCTGGCTATTGATGGAAGGGGCAAGCTAGGGTACATAACTGGTGAAATAAAGGAGAAACAAACTGGTGATGATGGCTACAGTGTCTGGAGGTCAGAAAATTCCTTGGTGACATCATGGCTTCTAAGTTCAATGGATGCATCAATTGCCAAACCTCACATGTTCATGAAAACTGCAAAGGAGGTATGGAATTCCATTAAGGAAACTTACTCAGATCTTGAGAACTCTTCTCAGATTTTTGAATTAAAAACCAAGTTGTGGCAGTCCAAACAAGGAAATAGAGATGTCATCTCTTACTATAATGAGATGGTATCCCTATGGCAAGAGTTGGATCAATGCCATGATGATGAGAAGTGGGAGAGTGCCAAGGATCTAGCAAGACACAAAAAAAGGGAGGAAAATGATAGGGTCTATATGTTCCTAGCAGGAATTAATAGAGATCTAGATGAAGTTAAGGGGAGAATACTTGGAAAAAAACCTCTACCCTCTATCAGGGAGGTATTTTCTGAAATCAGGTTGGAGGATAGCAGGAAGAAGGTTATGTACAACATTCCAGTACATAATGAGAAATCTGGGGACTCTTCAGCAATGGTGGCTAGGAGTGATGACAAGAAAAAGCCCTGGTGTGATCACTGTAAGAAATTATGGCACACTAGGGAGACTTGTTGGAAAATTCATGGCAAACCACCAGGAGCAGGGAAGAAAAAAAACTGAAAAGGCCCTACAAACAACTGTGACTGAGACTCAACAAGAACCACAAGTCAAGTTCAATCAGCTTTCTTTCACTCAGGAGCAGATAGGGCAACTTCTTAGTTTCCTTAATTCCCAGAAAACCCAAAATTCCCAGAAAGAATCCAAACCAGAATCTTCCTCTTGTTCTTATGCTCAAAATGGTACCTATTCATCATTTTTTTGTTCTGGGAAATCTAAAAATTCCTGGGTAATTGACTCAGGGGCTACTGATCACATGACCTCTTTCAAATCTTTTTTCTTCATATAAACCTAGTGCAGGGGATAAAAAGGTTAAGGTTGCAGATGGTTCTCTATCAGCCATCGCAGGGATGGGAAATATTAGTATTTCCTCATCTCTGAATCTATCCAAAGTCCTGCATGTCCCTAATCTATCCTGCAATCTTGCTTCAGTTAGTCAAATAACTAAAGATCTACGATGTTGTGTTATTTTTTATCCTTCTTATTGCATTTTTCAGGACCTGGCATCGGGGAAGATGATTGGCAGTGCTAAGGAGGAGGATGGACTCTATATCTTTGATGGAGAAACTCAATCAAATAAAAGAGGTCCAAGAAAGGCTTGTTTGCAAACTGTTTCCTTTTCAAATAATAAAGATTTGTATTTACTTCATTATAGACTAGGACACCCTAGTTTCTATTATTTAAAAAAGATGTTTCCTCAATTATTTGTGAATAAAGATGTTTCTTTGTTTAATTGTGATATATGTGCACTTGCCAATTCAAACATCACAGAAACACTTATTTACCCCACAGTTACAAACCTACTAGTCCTTTTACCTTGGTACATAGTGACATTTGGGGTCCATCTAGAATACCAACTTTAAAGGGAAAGAGATGGTTTGTAACTATTATTGATGATCATACTCGTGTCACATGGGTATTTTTAATCAAAGAAAAATCTGAAGTTGAGGAAATTTTTAGGGCATTTTATGCTATGGTCCAAACTCAATTTAATACCAAAATTAAAATGGTAAGAAGTGATAATGGCCGTGAATATTTTTCTCAAACTTTAAACAATTTTTTTACTGAAAAAGGCATTATCCATCAAAGCTCTTGTGTCAATACACCAGCTCAAAATGGAATTGCAGAAAGGAAAAATAGACATTTGCTTGAAGTCACTCGTGCAATCATGTTTTCAACAAACATACCAAAATATTTGTGGGGAGAGGCAGTGTTACATGTTACTTATTTAATTAATCGCATGCCATCCAAAACTTTAGGATTTAAAAGTCCTATCAGTTCACTACAACACTTCTTTCCTACAAATAGATTGTTAAATACCCTTCCTTTAAAAATATTTGGTTGCACAGTGTTTATAAAAAATCCTGATAGATCTGCAAGTAAGCTTGATCCTAGAGGAAAAAAATGTGTTTTTCTAGGTGTTTCTGCCACTAAAAAAGGGTATAAGTGTTTTGATCCTACAATCAAAACAATGGTTGTTACTATGGATACTTTTTTTGTGGAAGAACAACCTTTTTTTTATTCTCATCTTCAGGGGGAGAAATTAAGTGAAGATGTTCCAATAGTGCCACATATTCATGAAAATCTTAATTTTCTTGATATTAATCTTGATGATAATTTCTTTAGAAATATCAGTACATCTGAAAATGATCAAGAAATAAAAAATAATGAAGTAAATCCAACTGAACTAATTGAAAAGGATCAACAGACAAGTCAGTTCTTTGGAAAAGTTTATGAGAAAAGGTAATGCTTCTAGTAACCTACAACTGTCCATGAATAGTTCTTTGGACAAGTCAAGTCAGAAATCAAAGAATAGAGGATGTCCAAGAACCTACAACTGTCCATGATTCTGCCTCAATGTCAGGAAGTGAAAAAGGTAATGCTTCTAGTAACCTTGACCTTCCAATTGCTCTCAGAAAAGAGAGAAGAGCATGTGTTAAATACCCCATCTCAAACTATGTTTCTTATTCTAAATTGAACCCAGCTTTTGCAGCCTTTACTTCCAATCTTTCTTCTATTTCTATTCCATCAACCATACAGGATGCTCTATCTAAACCTGAGTGGAAGAAAGCTGTTTTGGAGGAGATGGAGGCTCTTGAAAAGAATCAGACATGGAAGCTTGTAGAGTTACCTAAAAACAAACCTACAGTTGGTTGCAGGTGGATTTTCACTCCAAAGTTTAAGGCAGATGGAAGTTTGGAGAGGTATAAGGCAAGACTAGTTGCCAAGGGTTACACACAGACCTATGGAATTGATTACACAGAAACCTTTGCACCAGTTGCAAAGCTAAACACTGTAAGAATTCTTTTATCTCTTGCTGCCAATTTAGACTGGCCATTACAACAACTGGATGTGAAGAATGCTTTTTTAAATGGGAAACTTGAAGAAGAAGTGTACATGGAACCTCCTCCTGGGTTTGAAAATAAGTTTGGGTCAAAAGTTTGCAGATTAGAGAAGGCTTTATATGGACTTAAACAGTCTCCAAGAGCCTGGTTTGACAGGTTCACAAAGTTCATAAAGAAGCAAGGATTTAATCAAGCTCAAGCTGACCATACTTTATTCATGAAGTTTTCAGGTAAGGGGGAGATTGCAATCTTAATTGTCTATGTAGATGATATTATCCTCACAGGAAATTATCACACAGAGACTAAAAGGTTGAAAGACAAACTTGCTCATGAATTTGAGATCAAAGACCTAGGAAATTTAAATTTTTTCCTAGGAATGGAGATATCTAGATCAAAGAAGGGCATTGTTGTCTCACAAAGAAAATATATCTTAGATCTTCTACAGGAATCTGGAATGAGTGCCTGTAAACCAGTAGACACTCCAATTGACCCAAGTCAGAAATTGGGAGATATCAAGGAGGGAATTCCAGTTGATATTTACCAATATCAAAGATTGGTGGGAAAATTAATATATCTGGCACACACAAGGCCAGATATTGCATTTGCAGTAAGCATGGTGAGTCAGTTTATGCATCATCCTCTCCAAGAACACCTTGATGCTACTTACAGGATTCTGAAATACCTGAAGAGCTGTCCAGGGAAGGGATTGTTTTTTAAAAGGGGAGACAATAGGACAATTGAAGCTTTCACTGATGCAGATTATGCTGGCTCAATATCTGATAGGAGATCTACGTCTGGATACTGTACTTATGTATGGGGAAATCTAGTAACCTGGAGAAGTAAGAAACAAAATGTGGTTGCTAGAAGTAGTGCAGAATCAGAATTCAGAGCTATGGCTAATGGAATATGTGAGTTACTCTGGATCAAACGAGTAATCACAGAACTGAAGATGGAGATTGAGCTGCCTATGAAGTTATATTGTGATAATAAAGCTGCTATAAGCATTGCTCATAATCCTGTGCTACATGATCGAACTAAGCATATTGAAGTGGATAGACATTTCATTAAGGAGAAGATTGAAGCTGGAATCATCTGCACACCATTTGTATCCACTAAAGATCAAACAGCTGATATCTTCACCAAAGGGTTATTTAGACCTATATTTGAGCTACTTATAAGCAAGTTGGGAATGTACGATATATATTCACCAACTTGAGGGGGAGTGTAGAAAAATGTTACATTATTTTTTCTAAGTAATTTGATGTACATATCAAGTCGGATAGACTAGGATAGATGCAGTTAGTTGTAGATAAGCTCATAGTTATCTAGATCCTAATTTTTAGGATCTGTACTGGCTCATAGTTATCTGTACAAAGTGTATTTATACTCGGGCCATTTGGCTTATTCAATCAAGGAAATTTATTCCTCAAACTTACAATTCTCAAAGGTTTACTCAGTTCATGAAAGCTAAGTGTTTATAAAGCATTTGCCCCGCATGGAAAGATATGTTCATATATTCTTGTGTAACAAAATCCTTATAGAAGGAATTAATGTTGAATTGCAAGATGGGTTCTATCAACGGGCTGTCTTTTCCTGATTTTGTGGCAGCTTGTCTACTATAAATGATATGGTTGTATGGCAATTAATCTCTTATGTTTCATGAATTGTTTCGTGCAATTTTTGAATTTCATATGAAGTGTGGGATTGATTTTGCCTTAAACAACACATCTGCGAAAAAAAGT